CCCACCCAATGATAGACAGACTTTGATAGAACGGTCAGGGAAGCAAGTCCTTTTATTTTATTTAACATTGGCCAGGACATATCATCTGAGGTCTCAGGTGTGCAGTGTGCAGTGTGCCAAAGTGTGCAGTGCTAGTGCAGGGGATGTGCCATGTGCCAGAATTGTGCTTTGCCTCCAAGAGTCCCATTACACATTCTGTGACTTAGACTTACGATTTAATGATGTTTCCCAGCGTGTGGTCTTCTTTGTTGATGGTGAACAAACAAGCATTGGGTACCTTGGTGTCCTTGTTAATGGTGATCCTAGGAAGAGGCAGAGGCTTCTGGCAGCTGTCAATCGTCCACTCCACAAAGACCTCTCTGAGAGCATCACTGAGTCTAACCCTGACCCCAGGGGCCCCCCACAAAGACCTCTCTGAGAGCATCACTGAGTCTATCAGAGTCTAACCCTGACCCCAAGGGCCCCCCCCGCAAGCTCTAGACTGAAAGCGGTTTTCCAACTTTGGTACCACTAACATTTTAGGCTGGACAACGCTGTTTTGTAGTAAGCGGTCTTGTAAACTGTGAGATATTAGCAGCACTCCTGGCATCTACCCACTAGATGACAGTAGTACCCTCATGCTTTGAGAAATCTCAAAAAGCTCCCCGACATCGCTAAATGTCCTGGGGATCCTAACTGGCCTCACTTAAGAACTACTCGCCGAGAAGACCAAAGTGGCTGGCAGGGCCTAGACCACGGACCCTGCATACAAGGCTGTTAAGAGAACAGCAGCCCGTTTAGGAGGCTCTTCTGCGTGCCGACCTCTGAGGCCACACGGCCGACGTCATCTCACCTCGCCCGAGAGATAATCCGCTGACGAGATACCCCAGTCGGCCAGGCCTCCAGATGAGGCAAGGCGGGGGTGGGGGTGTCCAGGCGCCAAGCCTGCCTGACCACTAGACTTCACCTTCCTCTCCCCTGAGGGCACGAGCAGCGGCCGCGGCTTCACACAGGCGCAAGCCCCTGGAGTTGGCCGCCGGGCCGGGCCGCTAGAAGACCTGGTAGGCGGCGGCCAGACAGCGGGCGGGGGCTCTGGAGTCGCGCGTTCTGGCTTTGAACAAGCCGGGGCAGTTCCTCGCCTCTCTGGGCAAGTGCCGTCTGCACACCGGGTAGCTCACCGCTGCCTCGCAGGGCTGTCCTGAGTCTGGCAGAGTGCACGTGCAAGCCAAGGCTGCTCGGTGCCCGCGGCAGAGGGCCGGGAGAACCCGCCAGGGCCCGCGACTCGACGCCCGACCCTCTCGGCCCTCCGGTCCCACTTACTTCTTCTCGCCCTCGAAGAGCAAGAACGACTCGAAGGCAGGAGGGGCGTTCATACTCGCACCGCAGCCGAGACCGTACCGACGCCTCCGCCGCCGCCCCCAGTCCCGTTTACGCGACCGCTTCCGGGTTAGCGACCGCTTCCGGGTTACCCCGGAGGTGGCGGGCCCGGCTCACGCCCCCCATCGGAGTGGAGGGTCTGGCGCAGGCGCGAGGAAAGCGGGCGCGGCGGGAGGCTGGCGACTGCGCGTGCGCGAGCCCGTCTCCGCCCTGCGCACGCTCAGCTTTCTGAGACGTCATTCTCTTCCCAGCTAGGCGGGAACCACAACTTTAGCGCCTCTGCGCCCCGCAGGTCCCCTAATCCCTCTTTGGAAGTGTGCCTTAGGAGTGCGCCGGCTGTGGACGGACAGACCCGGCCGCCAGCGGGTCCGAGAGGCCTGACGGGCTCGTGGGTATCCAGACGTCGTGTGTAAGCCCCTGCCTCAGCGCTCCCAGGGAGGGGCTGCAGACCCACAGTCGGCTGTCGGGCCTTGCCAACTGGACTTGTGGCCCAGGGAACTTTGTTAGGGAAGCAACAGGCTGAAGGAGGCAGAGGTACACAGAACCCCAGGGGGAAGTGTATGAGTCCCTGTTTGATTAGACATTTCACAGAGGGAAGCTTATTATGAAGACCCTACTTGAGCTGTATCTAGAAACAGGGGCTGGGGTCTGATTAGCTACTGGAGCCCTAACAGCTTCCCACCTGCTCCTCTGGGACTCAGCAGCAGCTGAGGAGCCCTCAGTGAAATCTGGAGCCATCCCCACCACTTCCTGGGAAGGCCATTTCCTACTTGAAGGCTGGGGTCAGGATGCCATTCACCGAGAGGGATGGGACGGGAGAGGGACCCGTGCTGACCCCTTGAGGCCAAGTGTGTGTTGGGGGGAGCTCTCTAACTGCAGTGGACTGAAGGTGATGAGGGTAACAATGCCCTGAGTCTGTATAACTCTCTCCCTTTCTAGATCACCTTGGAAAATCTTGGGCCAGGGGACCCCACCTTTGCCAGGACTGCAGAGGCCTGCAGGTGAAGGATTTTCACCCAGTTGGGGCTTCACACTCCCTGCCACTCAAAGCCTGTCCTCTTAGGTTGTTTAATGACAGTTGTCCTTTGATTCTGACCGGCATGAAATGTGGGCTTCAGAAGTTGCCCACCCATCCATGAGTGGCCTGGTGTTGGCATGTCCCAAGACACAGCCTAGAACTATTCCATCCTCTTGTAAGACAGGCCTGCCTGGCCCACTGAGGAAGGGGCTGCTGGGACATCATTCAGCTGTGGGTGGAGTCACCTTCGGTGGGTGTGACACCGGCTCACTGTTGCACAGGCCTGACCAAGGGTCAATTCGTTAGCTACAGTCAAGATCATCAAACTGAGTTTGTGGCCAAATTGCACTTGCTGCTGTTTTTATAAAGAAAAATTTTGCTGAACTATACCAGTCCCTTTGTTTATTCAGTTATCTGTGACCAAGACCTCTATGCTTGGCCTTACACAAAAAGGCTTGGGGAGTGGACTTCTTTGATTTCGCTCTCTAGTATTTGGTTATAATCAAGACCCTATTACTCCTTGATTTCTAGCCCATAGAGGAGAAAACTCAAGAGTTTCGTAGTTTTGTATCTAATGTAACAATCCTACTTTGTGTTCTCAAAACTTACAAATACCTAGCTTCTCAAAATATCCCATGAGCCAGCTTTGCCAAATACTTGTTTTCTCAACTGATGTGTAAAATCTTCGACAGGTATTCATTCTCTATTTATAGTCATCTTAAAAAACACATTAATAAATGATGCTTTGACAGGAACCGGCCCGGAATGTTGGTGGGAACTTCCCTAGATTTCCTTTGTGTTATGAGTGCGCCAAGCCCGGGTGGGCTCCGAGCTGCCTGGCCCGGGCTGAATGCTAGCTACTTGGGCTGTGGACATCCATCCGAGGCCTGATCAGACGGCTCTGCACACTGTCTGAGGGGCAACCTTCGGTGTGTGGGGCATACACAAATGTGGGCAGTGCCAGGTACTTAGTTAACTTCCCTCTGGCAGAGGTGGCCACACCCACACCAGGACCTATGGTGGGTGTTGCCAGGTGGGTGTTGCCAGGTGGGTGGCTGTAAGATAAAATCCAGGACTCTGGCACTCCCTGGTGGCACAACCGGTTAGTACGCAGCACTCAAGCTACCCGCAGCCTCTTCACTATGAGTTCGAGCCCCCAGCCCCAGAGGTGACCCACATGGCGCGGCAGGCCTCTCCTGACCTGCCCGCTGTTCCCCTCAGCAGTGTACTTGGTTGACCCACCTATTCTGCTCCCCACTCTGTCTCTGGTGACCCCTCTCACTGCCCTGCACCTCTGGCCTGTATCCCAGTTCTGTGTGCATAAGTAAATAAATCTTAAAAAAAAAATTCCAGGACTCTGATTATCTGTGTACTTCTTTCCCCTCATGCCCTGCTCAGGGCTCAGTAGGCCCCGGGGTTCCTGCCTCCTGACCATGAGGTTCCTTCCTGAAAGCCAGGAAGGTCCAACAGGCCTGAGACTTCAGTGAAGCCCTATAGAAGTAGCTAGAGAACCAGGTTTTGATGCTGGGGAAGGGACAAAGCAGGCAGGGCTACCCCTAACCCCAAGTCCTGGGGTGCTGGGTGGGAGGGACTAACTCTGCAACTGATGAACACCCTAGGGCTGCCTGGGGCAGGGGGGACACAGCCCTTCATCCAGACCATGGCCATAAGAGGTCGGCGCACCCCCATATCATTCCAACATCCCTTTCTTTCTATGCCTCCCTTCAGGGCCAAGGTGCTGCCTGCCCCAGAGCCTGGCTGGACAGCAGGTCAGGGGTTCAGCCTATGACCAGGTCCTTGGGTAGCGTCCAGGTCTAAGGTTTACAGGCTCAGCTCTGAGCTCACTTAGTTTTAGCCCTGAAGACCTGTCCTCCCTTCTCATCAGTTATGCTGGAGGTAAACTTGGATGGGAGGCGGTGGGGAGGTTTGTGAGGGAGTTGGTATAGGGCCACTGCCAGAGTCAGGGCACATGACTTGAGGGTCCAAACGGTCCCCACCTTGTAGTCTTCAGGACTTGGCAGAAGGGCCTATGTGGAGGCTTTGAGGACAGCTGATGACACAACAGGCTCTGTAGCTTGGGGGTTGGGGGTGAGGGGCCCAGGGATGTGGTGGGGCCAGCAGTGGAGGAGAAAGGTGCCCCCTCTGGGGTGGGGAAAGCAAGGAGGGAGGGCTGGAGATGCAGAGGCTAAGCTGGCAGCCCCCCAAGCCTTCCACCACCAGCAGCAGCCATGGGGGGCCATCAGGCCCATCCCCAACCTCAACCTCTGCAGGAGACCCCAGAGCTGCGGCAGTCACAGAAGATTTATTGTCAAAAACAGAGTACCACAGTGCTCTCCCAGGGGGCACAGCCAGTGGCAGTGAGGGGAGTGGGCAAGGAGGGCTGGCCAGGAGGAGGGTGCTGAGGTCAAGGCCTGAGGTCAAGGGGCACCTTGTTCCCTCCTGCTTCTCTAAGACCAAGGAGTGTCAGTTCATCAAACGTCGACCTTCCTAGGGGTGGTTTCTGAGTGGGTCTGCCCTGGGCAGGAGAGGAGGATTGATGGGGGGGG